GCCCTCCTCGGTCCCCTGCGGCACCGTGCGCGGACCTCCCTACCCGAATTTCGYTGGGCCCAGCGGGAGCGTCACGCACGGACCGCTTTTTCCTTTAAGGTATAAGACATAAGCAGAATCGCGAGGAGGGCATGTATCTAGTATTTGTCTCTGAGAAAGGGGAGGCCTTTAAAACACCCCCAGAGATAGAATCAGTCGTCGCACAATATTCCGACCTTTGTGAGGAGCCCACAGGCGTGGTGGAAAGGGAGGTGGTCCATGCAATAGAAGTTGTCCCAGGTAGCAAGGTCCCTAGAGGATGAATCTATAGGATGTCTCCTGCGGAGTTGGATGAGCTCCGCCGCCAGCTCAAGGAACTCACAGAAAAGGGATGGATTCGGCCTAGTACCTCCCCTTACAGTGCACCGGTCTTATTTGTCCCTAAGAAGGGGGGGTACCTTAAGGATGTGCATTGACTATAGGGGCCTCAATGCCATCACCGTTAAGAACGCGGAGCCCCTACCCCGCATCGACGACCTACTGGATAGAGTGCAGGGATGTCGGTACTTTACTAAGATAGATTTGAAGTCCGGATACCATCAAATTGCCATTAGACCTAAGGACCAGCACATAACCTCATTTTAGACCGGGTACGGTCTGTACGAGTTTGTGGTGCCCTGGGACATTCCAACACGCCATGAATAGGATATTTCACGAGTACTTAGACAAGTTTATCGTCGTGTACCTCGATTATTTAGTAGGACTGTAGAGGAGCACACTGAGCACTTGAAATTAGTGCTAGGCCTCCTAAGACAGCTACAGTACAAGGTGAACTTGGAGAAATGAGTTTGGTCGCACCAAGATCTTGTACTTGGGTCATGAAATCTCCGCGGAAGGGTTGAGGCCGGACGATGCCAAGGTGGCCAGCATACAGGACTGACCCAGACCTTGGACTGTCACTGAGGTCTGGTCATTTTTGGGGATGACAGGCTACTACCGCCCATTTGTGAAGAACTATAGTACTATAGCTTCCCCACTAACTGACCTAACTCGCCTTGACACCCCTTGGGAGTGGACAGAAGAGCGTGAGGCAGCCTTCTGGAAATTGAAGTATGCTTTAACACACTATGAAGTCCTCAAACTTCCGGATCCTGAGTAGTCATTTGTATTGACCACAGACGCCAGCCAATATGGTATAGGCGCGGTCCTTGCGCAGAAGGAGGGGAAAAAATTGAGGTCAATCGAGTACATGAGCAAAAAGATGCCATCTTATAAATTAGCACGGTCCACGTATGAGCGTGAGCTCTATGCCCTCTATAGAGCGCTAGTCCACTGGAGACATTATCTCCTCGGCAGATTCTTTTATGTAAGATTTGACCATGAGACGTTGCACTGGATCAAGACACAACCGGTACTCTCAGACGCCTTGAAACGATGGATTCAAGTGATAGACATGTATGACTATCAACTTGATCCAATCAAGGGAGAGTACAACAAAGTGGCTGATGCGCTATTGTGTAGGGCAGATTATCTGGGCGCGCTAGTTACTGAGTTTGGCATATCTGATGAACTCACTCGATCACTGGCGGAAGCCTATCAAGAAGATCCAGTTTTGTCTGAGATCATTCGCAAACTGGAGGCTAAGGATAAAGCTACCTCCGATGAGTTTGTACTGGTCAATGGATTGATAAGGCAGGGAATAAAAAACTGTGTTCCAACTAGAGAGTCTTTGCATAGTTTGTTTTTAGGTGACTGCCATGATGCAACTGGACATTTCGGGTTTAGGAAAACTTCAGCAAACCTAGTACAGAAATTCTGGTGGCCTTCTATGATGGAAGATGCAAAAAAGTATGTTGAAACCTGCCAGGTCTGTCAACGTGATAAACCTAGGATGCAGGCTCTGCCGGGCTTATTAAGCCCTTGCCGATTCCCGAAGGTCCTGGTCAAAGTGTATCCATGGACTTCATGGATACCCTTGTGACTAACAGGTTTGGGAAAAGACACATCTTCGTTATGGTAGACCGTTTTTCCAAGTATGCTAGACTTATCGCTATGCCTGAGATTGCTAAAATTGACTACATCATCAGACTATTTATGGATAACTGGGTACGTTACTTCGGTTTACTTAAATCTATCGTCAGTGATCGGGATGTACGTTTTACAAGTGAGCTGTGGCAAAGCACAGCCCTGCAGATGTGAACCAGACTGCAAATGACATCAGGGAACCACCCTGAGTCAAATGGTTAGGCGGAGCAGATGAACCGAGTAGTGCAGCACATGCTTCGCCATTACATCAAGCCAAGTCAGGACGACTGGGACGAGAAGCTACCACTTGTCGCCAGCCTGTACAACAACGCTGTACACAGCACTACAGGCAGGACCCCCAACCAACTGCATCTTGGTTGGAAACCCAGGTCCGCCCTTGACTACCTACTGCTCGAAAACCAGGCAATTGCAGCACCTGGCAGCATAGAGTTCGCTGTTGAATATGAACAGATGCTGCAGCAGGCCGTAGAAAATATTAGAAAGTCTCAGGGTGCCATGATTGCATCCGAGAACAAGCACAAACGACTTTCTTACTTTCAGGTAGGGGACAGAGTCTGGGTCAAGTCATCTGAATTGGGGCAGGAAGTAGGTATCTCCAAGAAACTAATGCCAAAATACTTCGGCCCATGGGAGGTCCTAGACATAGTGGGCGATCGAGGGATGGGCCTTCCTACGTGATTCGCGTACCCCCACACTTACGTACTCACCCTGTTTTCCATGCCTCAAAGCTGGCACCTTTTTCAGAGTCTGCACAGTCCCTTCCAGACGGTCTATGCTGCCCCCAACCATGGATGGTGAAGTGGACATCGACCAGATCGTGGACCATCGGGTGATGCCTGTACCTCGACCATTGGGCAGAGGCCGCCCTCCTAAGCCGAAAATGCAATACCGGGTCAGATTTGGACATCATCTGGATCCCAATGAAGATCGGTGGTTTTTAAAAGAGAAGAACTCGTGAGAACTGCAGCTCAAGTCATTGCAGGCTACGAAAGAGATCTAAAAGGGAAGATGCCTGCAGATTAGGAGACTTCTCCGAGGACTATCGAAGTACAGGAGGAGGGAATGCGAGGATCTGGGACCTCGGCAGGCCTAAGGGCCCCTTGTTGCATATGTGCCCGCCCTAAGTGAAGGCGGGCCTAACAAATCACGAGAGGTCCTAAGCTGTCAAATTCGTATTCGAAAGTCCAGGCAGTTTCCTCGCGCCAGTTGGTTGAGGGAAACACAGGCCGAGCAGCGAGACATTCCACGACCTTCCGTGTCTTTCAGAAAAGTGCAGGCCCTGGGCGAGAATCGCAGCCTCATACACAGACAGTTAGGAGGCCCAACCGAATGAGGCCCAGTAGCTGCACCAGAGGCGCAGCACCCTGGGGCCTACCGGAAGCTTCTAGGCCCAGGCCGGCCAGGCAGCAAAGCAGGCAGGCTCTTTCCATATAGGAAAGAGCTCGCTGCCTGGAGGTCATTCAGGCACTCGCATGCTAGCGGCAGCGCTGCTGGAGAGGACGCTCGTGGGCTGCTGCTGGTGCTGAGAGGCGAGGTGCTAGCGTGTGCGGTCGTGCAGGGAGCAGGGCGCTGCTAAGGGCAGCGCCATAGCCCAGCCTCCATAGCTGGTTGGGCTTGGACTACAGTGAGGCGCAGGGGTGGTCTTCGGGTGTACAAAGGGAAGACGTGGGAGTAAGACGAGGGAGAGAGAGAGCAGGATGATGATGATGTTGATGTGAGGGCACATACCTGGTATTGGCGATGGTCTGCATGGGCGACATCTTCAAGTACTACGGAGGCTGCTGACGTCAACAGTTGCATTGTCAATTAGTAGGCAGAGAGTAGCTGTGTAGGAAGTAGGCTGGGCGCCGAGTGCCAAGTAGGGAGATGGGGCCTGGACACTCATGTTGGTGGTGGCGAGAGCAAGCTCTCATTGACATTGGTTTTCAGTGTTACGAATCTTCGTTGGTGTTATATTGGTGCATTTCTGCTTTCTGGACGCTGTGATACTATCTGCCCTTCCATGTGATTGTACAATCTGCTTATTATCATCTCGCTATTGCTCAATTGCAGTTGGTACCGAGTACATCGCTGCTGCACTACGCGTGAACCGGAAGTGGTGACGGCTCAGCGTTGTGAGGGACAGACATAGCCAGACCTTCGGAACGCCGGCCATAGCTGGGACCTGCGCTGTACTCTGTCAGCACGCGGGGCTGTCAGAGGTCTGGGCTATTTGAGGTCTGCTGGAGGCGAGAGAAGTTGGTGCCCTGCTGGACCCTCCTCCGGAGTGGGGTCACAGGGTTGTGGCGCTGCAGCCATAGCTGCAGCTTCTTCCTCAGAGGTCATCTTGTCAGGATTTGGTGGCGCTGCTGCAGACTTCCACCCGGGAAGTCAACCAACACTTCGTCATCATCGGATACTGTGGCGCTGGTCTTCTTCTTCATCCTCTGAGTGGCGCTTGGCCTCAGAGGCCTGTTTCAGGGTGGCGTTTCCCTTTGGAGGCTTTGTCTGGGTGGCGCTTGATGTTTCAGGGACTCAGGGGTAGTGATAGCGGTTCATCAGGGTTGGGGAGTGAAGCGCTGCTCATCTCTGAGCAGCGCATCATAGTTCTGAGGTTATTCTGACAATTCGAGACTACAGTATAATAAACAGTATAACAAACAGTGTGGATACTGGGTTTGGATACTATCTGGCCGTCCATGTGATTGTGCAATCTGCTTCTTGTCATCTCACTTTTGCTTGCAGCCATTGGGTATGTCATAGGACCACGACGCTCCTTACCATTAACACTTGAGCGCCAATCTGGGGATGCGGGGCAAGGAGGGTACTAGCAGTCGCCACTTCTCTCAACCCGTCCCCTCCCCTCTCCTCTCCCCCCCCCCCCCCCCCCCCCCCCCCCCCCCCCCCCCCCCCCCCCCCCCTGTTATCCAAAGGGTACCATGGATGTTTCCTGGCTAGCAGGAGAGGCCGACTAGAGAGCGGGCGTCTGAGACTGCTCCTAACAGCCCCCCCTTGAAAGGCGGCTCGAGCCCCGAGGGTAAGGCTTCCCCTACTATCTATCTCACTCCTCCCCTGATGTACCAAACTATGCTTGCCGGTGATAAACAACTGGATTGCCGCCCCTTAGAATAGATTGGGCATTTAAAAAAAAAAATAAAAATAATAATAATAATAATAATAATGCAGTTGTATACATTCTTGCATTTTTTACACATTCTTGTCTTGGAAGTGGTAGCGTGACTGTGCCCTCAGTGCGGGCGTCTCAGCCCCGTGGCCAGGGACGTGGTCCCACTAGCAAAGAGGATCGGATCGAATGCCTGAATCTGGACGTGTTTGTCGAAAGGTGCAGGAAATCGATATTGAACTGCTTTCCTGCATCTCTGCATAAAACACGTCCACATTCAGGCATTCGATCCGATCCTCTTTGCTAATGGGACCTCACCCCAGGTTGTCAAAGTCCAGAAAGACAAACGGGAAAAAGAAAGGAAACACGGATTCAGCCATGAAATTGGCTGGGGAAACACAGCTTGAGCAGGTCACCGATTCCACCCTGCCTAGTTGGCAGGGGACTCGTAAGAATGAGAAGAGAGAGAAAAAAAAGAAAACAGCAGCATTCAGAATCTGACCATTTTAGCATAAGATTCTTTCTGTGGAGGACTACTGTGAGCACGGCCTCCTAGACTACCCAGCCCGACATCATTGCAGTAGAGAAAGTATCTTCTTTTATTTTCTCCCTATACAACTAAACTTTCTTCTTCTTGTCGAGCCTAGTGGGACCTCCGAACTCTGTGGGAACAGCCCGTTTTCCCTTATTTCCCAATACCGGCAGAGGTACTAGTGGTTCAACCCCCCTACGACCCCCCTATAACCCCCCTATAACCCCCCTATGCCCCCCCGATACCTCCGGAATAACCCACCGTACCCCCACCCCCCCCTCAGTGGATTTGGGATGTACTCAGCAAGCTCAGTAGAGCCCTTAACTCAGATCAAAAAAATTGGATGGTCCTCAGACTGCCGAGCAGTTCGCCTACTGGTCGGCCCGACTGGTAGGCAAGCCAACGGGCTACAGTCGGCATCGGCTGTAGGCGGTCTGACAACCCTGTTGGAGAGTGATTATAATTATTTAGCGGTTGCATTAGTCTGCACTTTCTTCTTCTTCTTATTCTCACACTTCGTCTCCTCTCCCACACCTCCATGCTCTATGGTTTTTCTCCCCATGTGTGTGTATGCAAGGAGGTATCTTTTTGTCTGTGTATGCTGTCCTCCTTGGATCTCTACATGATCATGATGTATGGGTGTGTCGAGTCATGAGTCTGATGAGTCAGATTGATGTCTATTCAGTCTTCTGCTGCTTTGCATTGTGTTTCTCCTCGCCTTGGTGATATCGTCGTCCCCGACCATGTGTAGATGATTATAGGCATGTGACACTGCACCTCGCAAGGACATAGGAACACAGCACAAGAACAGAGTTCTCACACTGACAAATGCCGCGACTATATGCATCAGACAGAACCACAGACACACAGACAGACCCCCAAATACAGAGACTCGGAAATTTTAGCAAACAGGTCAAAAGGCAGCAGCTTTCTCAGAAAATACAAAGCTCTTACACTGCAGCTGTACTGGTTATTGCAAAAAAAAAGATCTAAAAGACTAAAAGACTGAATGAAGAATTCACAATGTTAAGAAGGAAATAAGGCTGCCTGGCAGTCAATCATTCATGTTGGGAGCAATCAGTCTTGTCCAGGGCGTTCTGCGGCCGGAATGTAAGAAAGCATTGGCGTATGATAGGTGTGTGGCACTTGACTCGTCGGTGGAAGGAACCACGCTAGGACCATAAGACCTTAGTGACAATATTTAGAAGCGGAGTCCAAGAATTCAAACGAATGCCAGACACTTGTAGATGTGTTGACATGACAAGTAGTCCCCAGCGTGATGATTACAGCTGCTGTCTAATTGCAGTCATTAACAGCGCCGTGGTGGGCAGGCTGTTGACTGAAAATATTGAACTCTTAGAGGAAACATTGCCCGAGCTCAAAGTCGTGTTTTCTGATTTTCGTTGGTGTGCTTAAGCTTGAGTTGTATGTGTCAATTGCTTAGGGGTATGGAGTCCATGGACTATATTTGTTTGTATGGTTCAGGAGGGCTTAATCTTATGGGCCAGTTTATGTTTGAATTATTCCCTTGAATAAATCAGGATATGGATAATCCCTCAGCATGGCCAGTACATTGTTGAGCAATGAATGGCACGGTAACAAACATTGAATGCACCTATCAGCAATGCATGGCAGGAATGCTCTGCCACTGACGATAGCAACAGCTTTGCTTTTTCCTTAGATGATTGTGAAAGTGGAAGTGGAGTGAAGAGCACTGAAGCTCGGACTCGGGATAATCTTGGCGAGCTGCACGGTCTGGCAAGTGCTGCTCTCTACAACCATTACACTGTCCGAATGACGGACTCCCAGGTACGAGGCATAGATCCCAGTAGAAAGCTGCTGTGATTGAGATTTTTGTTTTTGGATGTACATAGCAAACCTTAAAATTCTGCTGAAGAAGTCAGTTGCACGTGCCCTGTATATTCATGAACTCTAGACCCGCAGTTCCTTATCACAGAGGCAAACGCAAGTGAAACCAACCCAGCAAGTTAGAGACCAGAAAAGCTCATATACAGAAGTAGCCTAGCCTTATCTCACTTCTTTCCTCCCTGTGGACACCACTTTCTTATCTCCGCGAGCAAGAAGAGCTCATATAGGGAAGTGCCCCTATCTCACTTCTTTCCTCCCTGTGGACATCACTTTCTTATCTTAGCCCTGCAGAATTCATGCATGGGAATCCCTTCTCCCTTATCAAAACTCTCTTTGTTATTGCAGCCGGCAGTTAGGTGAAGAATCCCTTTGCAAATGAAAATAATCCTTGTTTCTGTTGCAGATGGAAATGGCATTGGAAGTTCAGCTGTGTTGTCGTGAGATGTTGGGGATTGTTGGGGCCACTGATGGTTTATAGGTGGTGTCATTAACGGTGAAATTTTCACTGAAACTGCCAT